ATCAGCGCTGACAGCATTAATATAATTAAAACCATGACGTGGTTTTGAGATCCCTATTTGTGCGCTGTTACCACCTGCCCACATATACCTCCCTGTGCAGAGACAGAAGAACTTCAATCTTGAGGCTGCTATGTTGTATCTTCTGCTTAGCGGCTGGAAAGGAGGAATACTGGAAATATTTGTTGAATCCTGATCTCATCAGACATAGATAGAGATATGGAAGGGTGTGAACCATGGAAACATGTTTTCCAAGTCTGGCTTCATTTCTATCGTCATTTCTAACAGTTAGCATGTCTGTTGAGTTGTATATTTTATACGGAGAGTCGTAGAGTCCTACAGCATGGAGACAGGCCCTTCGGCCCAAACCAACCAAAATGCCCATCCACACTAAACCCATTTCCATGCATTTGGCCCATATCCTTCTGAACATTTCCTATCCATGTATTTGTCCAAATGCCTTTTAAATGTTGTTAATGTACCTGCCTCGACCACTTCCGCTGGCAGCTCATTCCATATGCGTACCACCCTCTGTGTAAACACTTTGCCCCTTAGGTTCCCATGTATTCTTTCCCCTCTTACCTTAAACTATTGCCATCTAGTCCTCGATTCTCCAACCCTGGGAAAAAGACTGAGTGCATTAACCCTATCCATGCCTCTGATGATCTTATACACTTCTATAAGATCCCCCCTCAGTCTCTTACGCTCTGAATATCTCAAATGAAGGGATGATGCCAGGTTCTATGTGAATAACAGGTTTTATTCAGTGCTGTGAAATGTCTATTTCATACTCCAGCTCTGGCTTCCATTTCTTTCTACAGCTTGTTTTCTTTTCTGAGTCCTCACCCAGACTTAAGCAAATAAGCACAATGATCAGCAATTGTAAACAGACTCACACAAAATGATTGACCACCACATGCTGTAATCAGAATTTTTAAAAAGTGCTGTGATTAGACATCTAAGTCAATTATTTCATCAACCCACTATATCAAAGATATAGATTTACTATTTGCACTATGTACTATGCAGTACACCAAAGTGCATGCATTCTCTTGCTGGTGCAATATTGGTAATTCCCTGTGAATGGATCATATGTCTGTGTTCACTCTCTCAGCTAGGACAGTGCGGGAGGAGGTCAAAAGAATAAGAAAGTCACTTTTATTTCCTGAGTCTTTCCATTCCCATAGCTAATACAGGTAGCCATTTTTCATGAAAAAGCCCCAAAAGCCACATATCTGACAACATATATCATCACAATTGTAATCCTGTCCTCCACAATATCTAAATAGACCTCCAGCACCAGTCACTGGATAGTAACCAGGAAAAGAAACACTTTATGAAGAAGGGTCCTGACCCGAAACGTCAACTTTCCTGCTCCTCTGATGCTGCCTGGCCTGCTGTGTTCCTCCAGCTCCACACTGTGTTATCACAGAAACACTTTTCCCCATTTTCCCCACTCCTTTGCTTAGCAAGCTAACAACAACAACCTGCATTTCTATAAAGCATTTAGCATCGTAAAATGCCCAATGGTGCTTTATGGGAGCATTATCAGACACAGTTTGACACTAAGTTACGTTAGGAAGTATTAGGATAAGTGACTAAAAGCTTTGTCAAAGAGTTGGGCTTTAAGGTGCATCTGAAAGGAGGAGAGATAGAAGTAGTCATAAGAAAGATTTAGGGAGGGTATTTTCAGTACTAAGTGCCCAGATAGTTGAAGGAGCAGCCACCAATGGTGGAGAATGAAAATTGCCAATGTTCAGGAGGAATTTTTTTCTTCATTCATGGGAATGTGGACATCTCTGGCCAGGCTAGCATTTATGGCCCATCCCTAATTGCCCAAAGGGCATTTAAGAGTCAACCACATTGCTGTGGGTGTGGAGTCACATGTAGGCCAGAACAGGTAAGGATGGCAGTTTCCTTCCCTAAAGGACATTAGTGAACCAATGGGTTTTTCCGACAATCAACAATGGATTCATTGTCATCATTAGCCTCCTAATTCCAGAATATTGCCAAGGTCTCTGGATTAATAGTCCAGCAATAATACCACTAGACCATTACGTCTCCCTGCCTCCACCATACTCTCAGGCAGTGCATTCCAGATCCTAATCCCTTTTTGCATGAAAAGCTTTTCCTCCTATCACTTTTGCTTCTAAATCTTTTCCCAGTCCCCAAAATTTGTTTTGTGCGAGAACACTGTATCCCTGTTACTCTGTTGAGACCTCACATGATTTGAATACTTCAATCAGATCTCCTGTCAGCCTCATCTCTGAGAAAAATATTCCCAATGTCTCCAATTTATCTTCATCACCAAAAGACCATAAAACACAGAAGCAGAAGTAGGCCCATTGAGTCTACTCTGCCGTTCAGTAGGATCATTGCAGATCTGATAACGTTCAACTCCACTTTCCTGCCTTTTCCACATAATATTTGATTCCCTTATTGACTAAAAATCTGTCTACCTCAACACTAAATATATTTAACATTCCAACTTCAGCAACCCTCCGTAGATCCTCAGGTAGAGAATTCCACAGATTCACTACCCTCTGAGAAAAGAAATTCCTCTTCATCTCTGATTTAAATCGGCAACTCCTTACTCTGAGATTATACTTTCTGGTCCTAGGAGGGGAAACAATCTCTCAGTATCAACATTGTCTAGCCCCTTAAGAATCTTGTGTGTTTCATAGAGATGCACAGCATGGAAACAGACCTTTCGGTTCAACTTGTCCAAGCTAACTAGATATCCTAAATTAATCTAGTCTCATTTGCTAGCATTTGGCCCAAAACCACTCTAAATCCTTCCCTAATCATATAACCATCCATATGCCTTTTCAATGTCATAAATGTACCAGCCTCCACCACTTCCTTTGACAGTTTATCCCATACATACAACAACCACTGTATGAAAAAGCTGCCCCTTAGGTCCCTTTTAAATCTTGCCCGCTCACCTGAAACTTATGCCCTCTAATTTTGCACTCCCCTACCTTGGGGGAAAAAACCTTGACTAATTAACCTATCCTTGCCCCTCATGATTTTATAAACCTGTATAAGGTTACCCCTCAGCTTCTGATGTTCCAGGGAAAATAGCCCCAGCCTATTCAGCCTCTCCCGAAAGCTTAAACCTCCACTCCCCCCCCCCCCAAAACACTGACAACATCCTTGTAAATCTTTTCTGAACCCTTTCAAGTTTAACAACATCCTTCCATAGCAGAGAGACCAGAATTGAATGCAGTATTCTAAAAGTGGCCTAACCAACATCCTGTACAGCCACATCGTGACCTCCCAACTCCTACACTCAACGTTCTGACCAATAAGGGCAAGCCTACCAAATGCCTTCTTCACTACCCTGTCTACCTGTGACTCCACTTTGAAGGAACTGTGAATCTGTGCTCAAAGGTATCTTTGTTCAGCAACACCCCCTAGGACCTTACCATTAAGTGTATAAGCCCTGTCCCGATTTGCCCTACCAAAATGTAGCAACTCACATTTATCCAGATTAAACTCCTTCTGCCACTCCTTGGTCCATCTGCCCATCTGATCAAGGTCCCATTTTACTCTAAGGTAACCTTCTTGGCTGTCCATTATACCAACAATTTTGGTGTCATCTGCAAACTTACTAACCACACCTCCTATGTTCATATCCAAATCATTTATATAAATGACAAAAAACAGTGGACCCATCTTATGGCACACGGCTGGTCACAGGCCTCCAGTCCGAAAAGCAACCCTCCACCACCATCCTCTGTTTCCTGCCTTTGTTTCAATAAGGTTTCCTTTCATTCTTCTAAATTCCAATGAGTACAGGTCTAACCTACTGAACTGTCCGCATAAGAAAATTCTTCCATACCAAGATCAACATAGCAATCTGGTAAGCATAGATGAGTTGGACCAAAGTTGTACAGTTTCCATGCTGTACAACTCCATGCCTCCATGACCCTTTTCCAGACTATCTCCAATGCCAGTATATCCTTTCCTGGATTAGTGCAGCAAGACTGATTACAGTCTTCTAGGAGTGGGCTAACTAGTGCTTTGTATAGTTTTAGCAAGACTTTCCCGATTTTATACAATATTTGATTTGAAATAAAGCCCATTCCATTTCATTTCCATTTCTTATTACCACTGAACATGTATGCTAATTTCTTGTGATTCATGCATGAGGACCCTACCCCCTGCCCCAGTTCTCTGCAGTCTTTCTCTAATTTTCTAATAATATTCAGCTTCAGTATTCTTCCTGCCAATGTACATAACCTCACATTTTCTCAAAATATATTCCGTCCGCTAAATTTTTTGCCCATTCACTTAACATGATTATAAGTTTCTGTAGACTCTTCGTGTCATCACCACTTATGTTCCCTGCTATTCTTGCGTTATCAGAAAACTTGGTAAAATTTCACTTCCCTCATCCAAGTCATTAATATATATTGTAAATAAATATGGTGCAAGCATTGATCCCTGTGGCACACCACTAGTTACAGGTTGCCATTCTGAAAATGTCCCGTTATCGCAACTGTCTATCCTGTATCAATTAGCCAATCCTGTATCCATGCTAATATACTACCCCAAACATCATGGAGTCTTATTAAGTAGCCTCATGTGCAAAATCTAAAACCCTTTGGAAATCCAAATATATCCAATGGCTCCCCTTTAAATATCCTGCTGAAATTCCTCATTCCTGAAATGATTCTTGTAAATCTCTTCTACCCTCTCTCCAATGCCTTTGCATCCTTCCTAAGTGCAAGGGCCAGAACTGTACACAATATACCAGCAGAGGCCAAAGTATTGCCTTGTACATATTCTCCTAGCTCTTGTGTTCCATGTCGCTGTTAATAAAGACTAAAATATTACAGGTTTTATTAACTGCTGTCTCTCAGCCTGTCTTGCCACTTTTAATGAATTATATATACATACACCCAGGTCCTGCACCAACCTTAAAGTTGAACCCTTTGTTTTGTATTATTTTTCCAGGTTCTTCCAATCAGCATTTTCCATTCATTTTCTTTCCACAGATTCCCAAGCAGTTTTTGGAAGTTGCGGAAGTGACGCTTCGAGAATTTTTTAATGCAATCTACTCTGGAAAAGACTCAGACCCTTCCTGGAAAAAGAACATTTACAAGGTGATCTGTAAACTGGACAGTGAGGTCCCTGAGATATTTAATTCTCAGGGGAGTCTGCAAGACATCTTGTACAATTAGAATAGTGGGCTGCACCAGCTTCTGGCTCTGAGCGATTGGTGGGGGCAACATATTGCAACAATGCACATTTTGATGTTGGGGATAATTGGAGCCAATCAGGACTGATATTGATAGGTTTTTTTGTCACAGTATCGAGGGATGTGAACTAAAGCAGCCAATGGAATTGAGATGCTTGTTAGCCACAATCTAATTGGAAGACACAAGGACCTGAATGGTCTAGTACTGTTGCTGTGTTCAAAGTTTTAAAAAAAAACTGTTTGGATTGCTTCTCATCCCCCAAGCTACTTTCCATTTTAACATGAGGACTACATCAGTAGAATTTCCTCTTATACAGGATGAAAATTTCTGGTTGTGAAAATATTGATGTGTGAATGATCCAGAGAATGGAAGGTTGTCACTTCATCCTCATTCTACTACATTCCCAATTGGAGTCCTGCTGAGCAAGAATGGACATGTCTGAGGGTGAAGGAAATTCAGTGGGGATCTCACCATCAGCAGAAGTGGGGTGTGTCCAGGAGTCTTGAAGCAGCTGGTATCTATCAAACGCTGTGGCTACAGGCACTAGGAACCTAGAATGGCGGACCTCCATACACAATAGGAGAGAAGCCAAGATTATTTGCCCTTTCATCAGAGGGCATGTGAGGTCTTATGGCTCTATGGGCAGTGTCCCTGCCTCCGAACCAGAAGCTCCAGGTTCAATTCCAACTCCAAACCTTGTTAGCCATGGAAGGAGCATTCATGATTCAGTTCACAAATTCTGTGCAAATTTATCCATCCATTCCTGAAGGAGGAAAATTCTGTGTGAAAATTAGAAAAAGATATCAGAGGATATGTAGAATTTCACTGGAAATATTAATACTTTTGTACAAATGTAGAAAATTGTGAGAAGAAGCAAGACAATTTTTTCCCAATATAAATGGAAAGATCAGAAGCTAAATTCTGAAATAAAGCACTGGTTCCCACTGTTTTACTCCCATCTACAGTGGGATGACAGGATACAGAGCTGGTCAGAGAGAAGACTTGACCAACTCGTTCTTGATCAACTTCTTGAGGAAATTGGTTAAATCTCTTGATACTCTATCGCAAACTTTAGGAAAATAATGAAAATAGTGAACTACATACACTGGATTTTCTGATCTGGTTGGCTGCCATGTTATCTCTCAGAGAATCCAATGTAATGAGTTCATAAGGAAGAGTAATCTGGCAGGGATGAGGACAGAATTAAATACATCTATTTAGAAATAAATTAAGTAGTAAAATCTTGCATGCAAAAGAAATTTTTCTCAAGCACATTGCATCATTCATTCCACTTGGGATTACTGCATATTTTAAGAAGTTCATTCACAGGTTGTGGATGTTGCTGGCTAAGACAGCATTAGTTGCCCATCCCTAATTGCCCAGAGGCCAGTTAAGAGTCAACCACATTGCTGTGGGTCTAGAGTCATGTGTAGGCCAGATCAGATAAAGACGGCAGATTTCTTTCTCTAAAAGGCGTTAGCAAAACGAGATGAGTTTTCCCCAACAATCAACAATGATCATTATTAGACTCTTAATTTCAGATTCTTATTGAATTTAAATTCCACTAATTGCCATGGCAGGATTCAAACCGAGGTCCCCAGAATATTACCTAGGTTTCTGAATTAATAGTTTAGTGTCAGTACCCTTAGGCACTCACCTCCTCTGATACTTGATGGACTGATTGACATTCAGTTTTAGATTTTGGTTATTACTCAGGTCAGCAAGAATTCATTACTTTATTTGATGGCTGATTAGATAGTTTAATTTCAGGTAGAACATTGCACATGGGCGACCCTTTCAGACTGTCACTTGTGTGATGTCACATGAGGAGTCAAAGGTCAGTAGTATCATTTCATTTATTGCATGCTCACTTTGCTTTTTAAAATATCTCAGCGGCAATTTTGCTACAATACAAAGGTTTTCTTTGTGCATTTTGTGTGTCAAAATTTTAAATTCATTCTTTATTACATAGAATGTTATAGCACAGAAGCAGGCCATTTGGCCCAACAGATCTATTCCAGTTTTAATTGCTTCACCAATGATGATCATGCCGTTAGCCACCTCAGACCAGTGGTCTGAAACTTCCTCCGAACATAACTGAACCTTTGATTTAGTTTGGTTGCAATTCTTCACAGATTTATTTGTAAATGTTTACTTTCTGCTTAACAAGCCATTATTGCTCCACTCTCAGAATCTGATAGTTGTGGGTGATTTGCATTTTAAAATTGAGTGAGGCCTCACCCATCCCCAAATGACAATTTCATAATGTACATTTATTTCATTTTCTTGGTTTTGCAAGGCCGGCACTTTTTTGCCTAATCTTGAGTGGCCTGATAGGCCCTTTCAGAAGGCAATTAAGAGTCAGCCACATATATGTGGAAATGGAGAGTAGGTATGGTTAGCAGATTTCCCATCCCCAAAGCACATTAGTGACTCAAAAGGGTTTTTCACAGTCACCATTATATTCCAGTTTTATTAAAGCCACAATGGGAAATGAACCCATTGGTTTTGGCTTTGGCCACTGGATCACAAGACTTGTGACACTACCATAATGCCACCACCTCCCTTAGCTGCCATATTATTCCAGGAACAATTTCCTAAAGTCAAGGATGATGGGATTTTAATCTTAACTGCTTGGTAATTCAGAGCTAAACATTGTTAAAAAGAAACATGAAGTCAAAGCTTTTCATCTTGTACTCATCAAGACTGACACACAAGAAACCTAATCTTAGAAAGGGAATATCAATTTATACAACATGAGAAGATAATGCTGATTGGTTTGGACCATAGTTGGTGTAGTGATGCAATAGGAAATGTTAACTGTCAATCTTAGTTAGCCGTTTAAACTCAGACAAGGCAGGTATAATTAGTATCGTAGGAAGTCATAAATATCTAATCTTGATTATTTGTACCTGGCTGCAGGTTACTGGTGTTTATTTTTTATAAATGCATACAATACCAATGTAATCCTTCATCTCCTAAATGCTTGCGATTTATAAGTGGCTGTTTTGTATTTTTTAACCTGCCTTGAGTGAATTTACTTTCTTGCAGACAGTGAGACACCATACAGATGAATTTGTAGTACCAAGCAAAATTAAAATAAATTTAATTAAATTCATCATTTTGTCCTTGATTACTGTTGGGAGACATTATCGTTGATTTTCTGAATTGGTCAATGTGAACCAGTTGCTGTGGTTCAGTTGGTATGATATTAATCATCGAATCCCTACAGTGCGGAAAGAGGTCGTTCAGCCCATCAAGTCTGCACCGATCCCACCCAGATCTAACGATTTCTGGCTTGAACATGCATTGTGAGAAGAAGCTTTTCCAATATAATGAGTGGTTTGGGTCTGGAATCACTACCTAGAAGTGTGGTGGAGGTATCCTCAATTGAGAATTTCTAGAGGCAACACATGATTATTGGAATAGAAAAATTGTGCAAGATGACAGAGAAAGGTTGGGAAAAAGATATGAAGTCATCATGCGCATTTGGAGAGTTGGTACAGACATGTTGAGCCAAATGGTGTTCTTCAGCACTAGAATAATTCTCTGATTCTGTGCCCTAGCCATTATTTTGTTCCTCAATCAATATCACAAAAACTTATCTAGTCATTATCCCATTGGTGTTTTTGCAAGCTCGCTTGCAGAAATTAGCAGCAGTATATCCTATAATAGAAACAAGTAACATTTATTTAAAAAAACACTTTATGATTGTTTAGTATTTTGGCATGTCCAGTGGTTTGTGTAAGGTCCTGCATACTTTCAAGCCTTCTTTCCATTTCAAAGCTGTGGTCTTTTTGTTTGTAACTCTCTCACACCATGTGAAGTATCACTGACCCATTGTGATTCTGTTGTTTAATTGCGAAGATCACAGGCAGCAACTTCACATGATCAGCAAAATCGCCTTGACTGACATTTTGTTTTCTTAGAAATAATGCCTACATGAATCACGGTTGTGTTCATCTGGATTTCACCACACGCTGTTCACTTTAGTTCCCAGTATGGCCTGTGTTAAAGAAAGCACAATAGGCGCACACTTCTCTGGCACCTAAGTATAGAATAGGCAAATTCTATGTTTTCATTCCCCTGGCAATACTTTCAGGTTGCTGTGGTTGTGCAATTCTTTTATCTTTAATTTTTGAACTCTTTAAAATATTATACATGCATGTTTTTCTACAACTTCAAATAGTGAGCATTAGCAGATTTTTGACAGCAAGTTGGATAACATCCCTTCTGTTCCACCCTAAGACTGTTCCTTAACTCAAATTTAACACCAATACTTCTATTGGATCTATGTAAATATACAGTCCATGCAATATTCATACTTTTAGTTTCACTGATTTTGTTAGTTTATGCTAAACTCTAGGTCTTTTGTCTTCACAGAGAATCAGTTCCCAGATAAATGGGAAACTTCCTCCAGGGTCCTGTGTATACTGATAAAGAGCTATAACTTTTGTCAACAGCAATTGCAGTAGTTATGTTTGCATTGTGTTGCACAACGTGGAGAATGAGTGGTTCTGTGCATTCATGTAATACATTATCGACAGAATGGCACAAGGTGGCACAGTGGCTCAGTGGTTAGCACTGCTGCCTCACAGCACCAGGGACCTGAGTTCAATTCCCCTCTGTGTGGAGTTTGCACGTTCTCCCTGTGCCTGTGCAGGTTTCCTCCAGGTGCTCCGGTTTCCACCCACAGTCCAAATATCTGCAGGCTAGGTGGATTGGCCATGCTAAATTGCCCCTAGTGTTCAGGGATGTGTACATTAGGTGGGTTTGGGGAATGGGTCTGGGTGGGATGCTCTGAGGGTCATTGTGGACTTGTTGGGCCGAAGGGCCTGTTTCCACACAGTAGACGTTCTATGAAACACAAGTGCTCTCCATCCATGGAAGTACTTTTCAAACTGTGGTCACTCTTATAGCGCAGGAACACAGGAAAACACAACCAATTTATGCACAGAAGGGATTAGGATACTGTTTTAGTG